GAAGCAATTTTGTTCTTCTTTGGCCTCCCAGCTGGTCTCTTACTTAATGGAGGTAAAATCATAACATCATCAATGCTACACATAGGTTTTTCAACAGTTGGAACTGGGCCAATCGAAAATGAGTATACTTGACGATACATATCAGCATGAAAAAATGGTTCAACAAATGAATTCAAATTCCTTTCACTCCTAAAAATTGCAGCAACAACATGTTGACCTGGATACCCATTTATTTCCCATTTTCGACATGAACAAATTCTTAACCCAAGATCAACCATAATCGAAGGAAAACAATGCACTTCAAAGACATTATCAGATGATAAACTCACATTCCATGTCCTCTCATCCATGAAAGCCTTCTCCAATACACTATCCATACAAGGACAGAGAACTTTATTTCATTTACTAGAGAGCAGACTCCTATTAGACCTCATATTCATGATTTGCAACCATATCATGTCCACCAAATTTGTTAATTGGCAAGTGTCGAGCTTCTCGTATCCATGAATGGAATGACTCAACAACATTTGAATACATCTCATCATAACGTTTCCCCTCAAAATATGTATCACTCCAATTTTCATATGGTAAACTTCTCAAGAAAACACTCACAATGTCTCATCCCTCACTTTTTAATTCATTTAACTTGAAATGAAATGATGCCTTTGTTGGCGCATATGCACATTCTGAAAACTTGGACACAATCGTCTCCCTAACCAAATTTGTGTTTCCACATGACAATCTATCCCTTAAATTTCTCTTTAGATATTCGAGACAAAATCCATGAAAGCAATTAGGGAAAAACCTAGCAATTCCTTCCACAATACCACAATGTTGATCTGATATGAAACTTATCACCCTCTCCAATCCCAATACTTCATATAAATGTTCAAGAAACCAACACCAATTGTCTTTATTCTCAGCATCAACAACAGCAAAAGCTATAGGAAAAAAAAACTGACAAAACAAATAGGAACAAGCATATTAGACATACACATGCAGAGAAAATTAGAACAATAAACAACCAGAGAAATTTGACACTGCCAACATCCAAAGAAACTTCACACAGTGGCCAAAACCAGAGAAAATTCACACAATGGCAACCTCCAGAGAAAATTCACTTAGTGACTAACTCCAGAGAAAATTCACACATTGGCAACCTCCAGAGAAAATTCGCTTAGTAACCAACTCTAGAGAAAATTCAAACATTGGCAACATCCAGAGAAAATTCGATTAGTGACCAACTACAAATAAAATTCACACAATGACAACATTCAGAGAAAATTCACACACTGACCAAAATCCAGAAAAAATTCACACAGTGGCCACAACCAAAGAAAATTCACACAGTGACCAAAACCATAGAAAATTCAAAGTGTCAGAGAAAAATCACATTCACTCAATTCCCACATATATAGATAAAATTAGATATATTTACAATTACTTTCATTCCCATCTTTCCCTGTCGCAGTAAGCATAACTCCTTTGTATCGTCCTTTCAAAAATGTTCCATCAAGAAACAACAATAACCTACAATATTTGAAACCGACAATGCATGCATGAAAAGCCACAAACACTCTCTTGAAATGCTTGTTATCTTCAAAATCTAACTCAAAACGACTACCTGGATTGTTCTTCAATGCCTCGTCAAAATACCACCGTAATTGATCGAATGACAAACAAGAATCCCCATATGTACTACATTTTACTTTTTCAACCCCCAACCAACCACAGTTATAACTGATTGAGACCTCATACTTGTCTTTCATTTCTTTGACAACATCCACTGGACGAGTTAAAGGTTTTGCATTTACCTCTTCAAACATCAGCCCAGAAACTAAGCTGGAAGTCATCCTAACATGTTTACTAGTACAAACTGTCACACCACACATATGTTCATTGTTAAAAGTTCTTATGTAAAAGAACCCATTTGTTTTTTCAACTGAAGCATGTACACGCCACATACATCCCATTGATCCCTTATATGCACATTCTGTCGTAACCCTCAGCTTGTCATTTTTAGCATTCGTAAACTGAAAACCAACCTCAATAGCACTTGCATAAAACAGTACGAAACTTAACCACACCACCCTCAAATTTTTGTCCAACACTCGTAATTTTATTTCGCCAACCAGCTGACAATAACACATTTTCTTAGTAAGAACAAAACTTAGAGAGTGAATTCCTGTCAATATCCACCAGCCTATCGCATTCACCATGCACAACATCTATCCAATTAGACCCCACTTCACCCTCTTGATCAGAAATACTACACCTAATAACTGAAACATCAACTATATCAACACCACGTGCACAAACAACGCTCAACATATTCAGAAAATCAATATTATTTCGAACCATACAATTCGGATGGCCCACAATAGAATATGAAATACACATGGTCTCAGGTTTCAAATTCTCCCATGTTTTACACAAAATGCCAACCAATTCCTCAAAATTCAATTCGCATAAAACATTAATGACAATAGTATCATTCTCATATTTGCACAACAACAACACTGCACTGTCCATTGAAACTGAAAGAAAAGATAAGAAAAATTATTTGTTCAATATAAAAACACTTCACAAGAACAATATAAAAGTCCAAGGAAATTTCTAATAATTATAATTTTCTCTAGATTATAATAACAAGCTTATGATTTTCCTGGACTCAAATAAAAGTCTAGAGACATTTACAAACTTACATTCACCTTCAAGATAACAAAAACAAAATCACAGAAAATTTAATGAATCAAGAGAGAATCACAGAGAAATTTACTGCTAACTATTAAACACAATCATAGACAAAAATCACACAAAAGATTTGTTATGAAATTATAAGCTTCTCTGTAATTTTCACTGAATTACAAGCTTACAATTTTTTCTATGCGATTGTGAAATATTGCACTCATATCAAAATCCAGAGAAATTTACAAGCTTATATACACCTTCAAGAGAACAAAAAAAAACACTGCTCTGCCCATCGAAACTGAAAGAAAAAACAAAAAAAAAAAAATTACTTTTACTAAGAGAAATAAAAACTTATATTCACTTTGAATTACAAACTTATAATTTTCTCTGAACCATAAACTGAAAGTAAACAACAAACTTATAATTTTCTCTAAACTACAAATAAAAATCCAGAGAAATTTAAGAATTTATATTCACTTTCAAGATCACAAAAACAAAAACACATTAATATCAAATTGACAAAAATGCAAACTATTCCACACAAACGCAGAAAAACTCATAGAGAAGATTTGTTATGCTCGCAAAACATTCAATTGAGAAAAATAAAAAATAAAAAATAACAAACTTATAATAACATGTCTATAACAAATTACAATTTTCTCTGTGATTTTCACTGGACTACAAACTTACAATTTTCTCTGTGATTTTCACTGAATTACAAACTTACAATTTTCTCTGAGATTCTATCTACATTAGAAACTTCTAATAATATGTCTATATGAACTTATAATTTTCTCTGTAATTTTCGTTGGATTATAATAACAAACTTACAATTTTCTTAGGACTATACTAACAAAAGTGCAGAAAAAACAGAGAACAAAACTTAGAGAAAAAATGATAAGAAATTTACACTTATCTCTGGTTTAAAGAAATTTCTCTAGTTTGAAAAAATAGAGAACAAAACTTATCATTGATAAGCATGTTGATGAAAAACAGAGCACGAAAAATAAACTTTAAATATCAAAACCAACTCCACTATCAACTATCTTTGAAATTGACCAAAAAATAGAGAATGAAAAATGAACTCCAAAAATCAAAATCAACTCTATCAAGTTGGCCTCTCTCTAAAATTGATCAATAACAGAGAATGAAAAATCAACTCCAAAAATCATAAACAACTTCACTGAGCTAGCCTCTCTTTTAAATTGATCAAAACTGAAAACAAAAACCTAATGCAAAAAATACACTTGAAAACTAATATGAAATCCGAATCCTTCCATAAATTCAAAACAAAAATTGAAATCCATGTGGAATCTCCATCGAAAACATACATGATTCAACACCACTGAAAAACCTACACGATCAACACACTGTAACACCTACACGATCGTAGCAATCTCTATCGTCAAGTCCACTGCAACACTTGCAAAATACCCATGAAATCTCCACCGTGAAGTCAGTTTCCAAAATCTCCACCGTGAAGTCAGCAATAGAATATTCAGTTTATCAAAATCCAAACAAACTTATGTCATAAAGAAGGGTAAATTAGGTATTTTATAATATAAAATAAGGTTGAGAGACCTTAGCCATCAAAACATATTATTGTGAACCTCTCCTCCTATCAAAAGTTGTGCAGGGATCTTAGACCAATTTTTCGTTTTTTTTATTCTTCAATTTTGATTGATTGAATTCTAAAAAATAGATAAGGTAATTAATTTTACATAATAGATATGAGATAATTGGTAAATTGAAATGCTAAAATTATGAAATTCATTAAGACAAAATATATTTATATTTTATCTTAAATATAACTATTATATGGAAACTAATTAATGTTAAATTAATTTTCTTTTATATTATAAACAAATTTTTTGTTATAATTTAATTTCAAGAATAACTTTTAATTATTTATTTTAAACCGTGCATAGTACGGATATTATGCTAATAGAAAATTAAATTATGAGCCTAACACTTTTGCATTAAAAAACATTATATCATTAGTTAATAAAAAAATTATGTGTGAATGGATGAGGGATTATTTTGTCTTCTAATAACTCAATCCTGTATTTTTCAACGATGCTACGTATCTTTACTATCACAATTTGAAATTTTGATTAATCAATGATATAATGGAGAGTTTTTCCCAGTGATATTGCTTTGCAAAAGTTTCAAAAGTCTCGATGTATATTGAGACTTTTTCCCACTTATTTGTAATTTCTTCGTATTTAAAATCATTACACCAACAGAATAGTAATAGTATAAAGAATACGTCATAAAAATATGATATGAAAATATTCACAGAATAGTAATAGTATAAAGAATAAGTCATAAAAATATGATACGAAAATATTCAAGTTGGATTGTAAATTACAATTATCAACTTTCAAAGAAAAACAGACCAGAGTAACTAGCCTAACATGCGTCTTCAAAAAAATCAAAGAGGTTTTCCTTCCAAAACTCATTCATCATATCATCTTCCGACGACAGCTTCATAACATCAGTCGAATAATTCACATCTCTAATGGCAGCACTTTTGCCTGTAAGATAAGCGCTAGCTCCCTCCTCCATCACCACCAAATCGTGGTCGAAAACAGAAACAAAAGATAACTCACCATTCAACCCTAGAAAGCCATTCACTGTAAAACGACAACCTAAGTCGAATGGAACCGGTTTTTCACCACATTGATCGTTATCAATACCCAGAACCGTAGTGCCAGAGTCAGAAACCCTAGAAGACGTGCAATCTTTCAATGCATCATCAGACTCTTCAAGATCGATGATTTCTGGGTATTGGATAGTTTCTTTTCTGCTGTTGTTGTTCTTGTTGCTTGCCACGCGATTTAGTTCTTCGATTGCATCAAGGTCGATGATTTCTGGGCATTGGACAGTGTCTTTGCTGCTGTTGTTTTTGTTGCTTTCTCTGTTTTGCTTATCCTTTTCGCGCAAGAACAACATCAGAGAAGGCAGGGTTTCTTTCCATCAGCAACCATGTGGGTTTCAAGCTTTTTCTTTCCCATGAAGCCAGCCTAGCTGCTACCAGATTCAATGACGCAGAAACAAAGAAAGTCGTTTAAACTGTGTTGCAGAGAGAGAGAGAGAGAGTCAAGGCAAAAGTGAACCTTGTTAGCGTTGTGTTAGGGAGAATATGAACATCAGAAGAGAGGGTACACAATATGTTTGTCTTATAAGCTTTGGAAATCTTGTTTTGTTAAGTCACAAGGAATTAGATATCTAATGGATTTGGAATCCCAGAAAAGTCACAATTAGGAATTAAGGGGTTGTTTGGGATGTCCTAAATAAGTATATTTTTTGTCTTTTTAGACTAAAAAATTGAGGTTGAAAATATGGATGTTTAGGTTAACTTTTTGACTTTTTATGGAAAAATGTGTAATAAAAAATTGTAAAAATTGATTTGTAGGAGAAAATTAAAATTGGGAGTTGTGCAGCCGTAATTGTTGACTTTTGATGAATAGTGATAACTTTTTAACTTTTTGAGTAACTTTTTGACCTTTTAGCTTTTTAACTGTAAATGTTAACTTTTGGTGAATAGTGTTAACTTTTTAACTTTTTAAATAACTTTTTAACTTTTTGACTTTTTTACAAGTTCCCAAACTTGACCTAAAGGTACATTAGGTCACCCTTCCGACCACACGGTCTTAGTGATTTTACAGCAAGTGACTACTACCTAAACCGCCATTATCATTAGGATCGAAATTAGAAAGTACGATTACCATCGCACACAAAATTTATTAATTAATCCAATGAGTTCTTAGTCTCCATATGCTGTACGTACCATGGGGTTATGAGTCCCATTTTATCAGAAAGACAAAAAGAAAAATTAAAAATAATAATAATACAAATAAATTATATTGACTACCTTCAAGTTTAGAAAAAAATATAATAAATTTCACATATTAGGCATAATTATCCTAACTTTTTTTTTTTTTTTAAGTAAAGCTATAGACACATGAACAAACAAGACAAAATATAAAATTCAATATAAAAGAGATAATAATATCATTTTTTCATCCATGCAAGTAATGAATTATTGATGAAAAGAGACTATGGTTCCTCTCTATACTACTATCCTCCATATTCCATCTTGTGGGTTCTATTCGATCCAAACCATTTATCTTGTAAATTTTGCAGTGAAGACAGTCTTTACAAAAAATTAACTTCATCGGATATCAATGAATAAATGAACAAATCACATTTTATTTTATAAAATAGATGGTTAAAGTTTAAATTCAAAATTGTCTTCCATTTTAAAGAATAAAATATAATCTGTTCACGTATTTAGTGATGTCCAATAAGGGTGTGAGTTAACTCCCCTAAGTACTAATCTAGCAACTAACTACTAACTTTCGCCGATCAAAAAAAATACGTAACATGAGAAGACTTACCAGCAATATCAGGTGCCAGCTGAAGAAGTCCATTCGTGAAATCCAGCATTCCCAGAAAGCATACGATCAACATAACCCCACCTGCTACAAAATGTTGGACAAATTAATTTGGTTTTGTGAGTAACACAACCAAAAAAGATTCAGAAGTAAGATGATCATTCTTTTCCTTGTCTAGAGTCCATGAAAGCCGAGAAAAAAAATTTATTACTCTCATCAATCAAATACAAAATTTTCAACCTCTTGAATATGGGAAAAAGTTCTTAACATGGAATAGAAGAATATAAACAATAAATAAATAAGCTTCCACTACACCAGATGAATTTTTGAAAGAGAGGTAGAAGTTTAAAATTCAGTGACCCAGAGAAGGTTCTTCGCTGCTCTTCGTTCTTCCTCTGAGCATGTCTGTGAAACTAGCCCTCATGATTCGCCTAAATGTAGTGTCCTCAGCCGGGGATTGCACAACAGGCTTTGGGGGCTCAACTGGCTCAGGTGATGGTGGTGGTGGTGGGTCTCCAGTTTCCTTCTTGCCCAGTAGCCCACCTTCAAAGAAACTGGTCACAGATGATGCAATTCCAATATGAGAACCCATCACCTTACTAAAACTCTCAAAAGTTCCACCTGATCTTTCCCTCATTATGATTTCAAGTGCTTCTTTATGTGCTGGATCAAGCGCATCATGGTCTTTCAACAAATTCTGTATTGCTGGCAGAAGCAAATCCTTAACACTAGTTGCCGGTAAACCTGCAGCAAGCAAGCCAAAAAGTCTCCTCACATTGCAAAATTTGTTGAGCAATAACCTCATCATTGTTATTATTATAGGAGAAAATATTAAAATAGACACAAAATTGTAGTCCCCATCTTAAAAAACACAATTTTGGTCTACAACAAGCATTTCACTCACACAGCTAACAAAGGAAAAAGAAAACATTTCTTCAAAAGAAGCAAACCTGTTGCATCTAGAGCACGGATTGATTCACAAAATGCATTAGCTCTCTCACGACGACGCATCACATCACTTGAAGGAAGGGATGTGCATGTGAGTTGGAAAATCTTTGACAATAGATGTATATCAAGTCAAGGGAATAAAAAATCGCAGTACATTAAATAAAATGAGGAACAAATGAAACATCTGAAATGACAAGATGGAAAGGAAGAAATATTCTGAATTCTTTCAAGCATTGACAGAAATTCTGCAAGAAGAAGGGTTCGGGATATAATCTCTAAGTCTGTCTGTTGTATGTGGTACAGCCACCACCAATGCATGGACCACAGCCATTGTAGCTTCATGTGAGCCATCTTCAAGAAAAGCATCCATTTGAACACGTATTTTATCAATGATCTAAAGAGTGTAAAATTTGATCAGCAAGATGCATTCAAGCTGCTATATTGAAAACGTCAATATCAAATTAACATCCACAAATATATACCACATCATTTTTAAAATGCTGTGCCACAGCTCCAAATGCGTCAATGCTTGCATACTTTACATTCAAGTTTTGGTCAGAGCCGAGAGTAACAAGAGCAGGCAACACATGAGTTGAGGCCACTTTAGCATCAATATTTGGTACCTATTAAGGGAAAGATATCTGAGAGTTAATAACACGCAATGGTAGAAGTGGTCAGAGATACGAACTCCAGAAGAATGAATGCACTTACACTAACTTTCAACAGATTGGCAGCACTGATTTGCATATTTATGTTGGAGCTTGCAACCATATCCCACAAGACATTAAAAATCATATTATGATGTTCTTCAAATGTACTGCTTAAAAGGAACGAGTCAAATAATGAATTTCAGACCAACCATAAGCTCAATATACTGAAACTTTTTTCACAAAATACGAACCAGAGGAAGCGGACAGAGTTAACGATCTCAGCATGGCGCCTAGTTGGCTGACCCTCGTCCACTGCACTTTGAACTAACAAATTTCTCAAGTATTCTGTCAACTCTTCGTTCTTGCTAGGAGATCCTAACACGCCCGCCAAGAGAAGTGGTAGAACACACATAGTAGCCAGTCTCTCAGTTACAGAAGTTTTTGGTCTCAATCCTGTGGCAGCAAGAATCAACGACCTTCTAATGGTGTAGACAATAACTACATAATAGTAACAATGTGATATATAGTAATAATGAATATTTCAAATTTCACCTCTGATTCTTGACTGGATGGTAGATGGGAAAAATTTTAAATCAGCATTATCACCAACGGCTACCAAGAATACTTGCAGCATAATGTTTGTCAGATAATCATCCCCCAAATGTTCAGATACAGCCAACAAAAACTACATTACCAATGTCCAGGTCAGCAACTACTGGAATAACACTAACGTCGTGCGTAACAATAGAGGCATGATAAATACAAAAAGCAATAAATGCAAGAGCAGATAAAAGTACCTTTGTGATTCGACGTCTTAAATTATCTTCCTTCTGAGGTAACAGAGAGGCTAGTTGAATCAAATCAGGAAAGCAGTCAATGTGCAGCCATTCAAATGCAGGCCATTCCACACGCCCCCTGGCCAGACATCAGAACCTATCAGAAGCAAAATGGCAGTAGCTAGATTTTTGAAAGCTATGACAATATTATGCAAAATAAAAAGTTCTGTCCCACATCGAAGTGGAAAAGATTTGTGAAAAAGTTGGGTCATGCAGAGATTACCCTATATACTGTTCAAGACAGGAGGTAGAAAACAGTGTTCCTGAATTTTCTGAAATGTTTGGAAATGGACATGTCTCAATCGCTTTCTCATGCACAAATGGAAGCGTTTCTGCCAGCAACTGTAATAAGACATCAACATTCCAGCGCTCTCTTTCTCCTAGAACACGGAGATGTGATTCAACAGAACCTTCGACCCCCGAAAGAGGTGGACAACGCTGAAAGCAGTAGTAGTAGTAATAATAACAATAAAAGTGTATTGGGTTATCAGACAGTTATAGGCAACAGCTGAGGAATAATGAGGTAGAAGAAACAATCATACCTCAGCAGAGCTTAAGATGTGAGAGATTAAAACTTGTAAAATATGGTCCAATTTGTTTCCCCAATTTATTAAAGCAGGAACCAATTCTTTGATTATTGTCTCTACAACCACGCCAGATGGATCACATACCAACTGAAACATCATCTCTTCAACCTATCAAAAATAGAGAGAGGAATTGGAGGTACTTTTTTTCTTCATATTTTTTCCCGTTAAAGTCATCATAATATGATCAGGGAAAAATGCTCCATTCCCTAGACCACATAGCTTACATTGTAGGCAATTCTGTCAAGTCAGTTTTCTTCTCCATGATTGCCTTGAAGCATATTTAGTGAGGCTGACCTTGAAATATTTATCCACGCTTGGGAAGAGTGGAAGCAGCAAGGCCAGATTGTGAGCAGCAGCTTCACGGACAACAATTGCAGAATCCTCTATCAGTTGTTGCATGATAGACAAGATGAGAGAATCACGAATCTCAGGCCGGACAAATTCTGCAAGCTCTCCACATGATTGAGCAACAAGAAGCCTGCGCTCCTCATACATGTGATTAATCTGCATTCCAGAAAAATCAGAATTATCAAAATCCATCACAAAGACAAAATGGATAAATACAGCTAAACTGAGAGTCCTTGTAAAATCATGGTTTTAAGCTCACTTGTTCCCAGCACTGGGGAAGCAATTCTGTCTCTGTTCTCATTTCTCCTACACTCTTAGCAAGTGTAACACAGGCCTGAACAGAATAAAATGATTCAACATCATGTTTAAATCACAAAGATATCTTACAAATAATTGATGGTGTGGTACTTGATACAAAAACCTACGTCCATTATAATTCGTCTCTGTTGTCCATCTGGACGTTTAATTAAGTTAAACAATGTGTGGGTCAAGGAATCTCGTGTGCTGCTCTCTGGATGGCGCTCGATAGCACACATTATCAGAGGAAGAAGCTCCTAAAAGCAAAATACCCAAATGATAATTATAAGTCCAACATTCACTTTAAATAATTACCAAAAAAATGCAAGAACAGAATCCACGATAATGACAGATGAAATTACAAATAGGAACAAAATATTCACAACCAAACCTCACGGTGGTTGATTAGAACATATGGAACAATTTTAGGCAATGCATCCGAGAGGATCTGAATGGTTTCCAAACCCTGGAAAAGTTCAATTATATTTTAGACAGATTAAAATAAGTCGTCCCTTTATGGGAGGACCTAACATGCTCTAAAGCACAAAATACTAATAGCTTACCATCTTTTCAGGGCCTGGTTCACTACCTCGACTGTCTGATTTTAGAAGTAGCCCATTATCTTCTAGTAGCGGTTCACCATCATTTTTGGGGACATGCTCAGCACTCTCAATAGCACCATTATTATCATTTGAAGAACTTAATAATGTCTCTCCTGGTACTGTCTCAGGTTTATCACTGGTGTCATCAGATGTTTGATTTGCCAGTGATTGAGCACCCACAGTTTCTAGAACTCCAGATGTTATTTCAACTGGAGATGATACAGCATTATTTTCATGGAAAACAACAACTTTGTCTTTTGTCTCCGTAAACTCTGTATCATGATTATTAGATTCTACAGATTCTGTAGCAACAAATTTCGTACTCTTTAAAGTTTCTATTTCCTTATGCAGCAATTTTATTTCTTCTCTGTAGCTTTCTAACGTTTGTGATTGCATGTGTTCAATGTCACCAGCTGCCAAATTCCATCCAGATCGACAACCTTCAATGTGCATTTTCAATGAAGTGATTTCAGCTCTGCAGTCATTGAGTTCTTTTCTTTGGTGGTCCAAAAACTGCTTCAAATCTTTCACCTGAATACCATGATATCAGCTATAATTTCCAACATAAATATATGATTGAAATCTGTTTTCCAAGATGGAGTTAATCAGAGAGAACTACCAGAATTTCCTTCTCCTTCAATTCCTTGTGTAGAGCTTCCAAGGATCTTGTTAACGCCATAACTTGACCATCAGTCAAATCTTTGTTTTCAAGCAAAGACGCATTTTTGTTTTTGAGCTTCTCATTTTCTTTTAGAAAAGACTCCTTCTCTCGAACCATTGCAACTTTTTCCTGCAGCATAGTTAGCTGTCTCATTTATGTCGCAGTTCAGCAACAAGCAACAAGATTCAGATCAAATATATCAGAGACTTTGGTGAACATCAATCGTCAAAAACCGGTTGAGCATCAAATTAAAGTATCAAAGCCTCGAACTAATTAAAGAGGCCCCATGAAGCACTTACCAAGTAAAATTTTGGTAATTACTGATTTGGTTCCAATAGACATTAATGTCAGATGATCCATACAAGGTTAATAATTCATATGCACTCTCTTTAATAATACACAGAAAAACTAGCCTACCCCATGTATGTTTCAGGAAGTACCTCAGCAGCCTCTGCAGTGGATGAGAAGTACTGGTAATAGTAATGACGCAAGGCATCTGGTACACATGCAGATGAGTTCTCCCAGACATCTAGATTCTGGTTGGTAACCTGTGGTGAAAGGTATGAAAAGTTAAAACAACATTCAATGTGTATAAGGTATATGAACCAGATCCCATATTCTATTTGAAATGTACTTTCTAGAGCTTCTAATTATTGAGTGATGCTATATACACCAAAAACATATGTCACCACGACGCAAGAGAGATCAAATACAGAATTCAAAATTAATTGGTTTATGGGTCTTGGTAATGTGTGCCCTTATGGCACATGTTAAGAGGGCTTTAAATGATTGTACATTCTTTATTGCACGCACTTTCATGCAAGATGCACTATTATTTTAAGCTTCTTAACATGTGCCCCGAAGGGCACACATTAATTAACAAAATCCTTAGTTTATTTCAGATTAAACTAAACTAGTATTTCAATAGCTGAACTGACCCATCTGATCAACACAGAAGGATGTTGATGAGGTTCAGAAACCACCTACCTGGGCAACCCAATTGCATATGCAATATCATAAAGCAGTTATTTAATATCCATGTCCTTTACTCATGCATGAGTAATTACGTAAAAGAATACATATAATTTATACATGTGAACTGATTTTTATGGGAACTTTGTTATAGTTCTGCGTCATATTTTGTCTCTCATTTCCACCACTTGACCAACTGCATACCTTGTGCAGTCAACAGTTTCAATTTCAAGCAAGAGTTGCTAAAAGTAAAGCAAGGAAAGGGCAGACAATTAAATTCAAATGGCTTAATAAGAAATAAATGGCATCTTTCCATTGAACATAAGCGTTAACAAGAGAAGATACTAATATAACGACACATTAGAGTTTAAGAGAAGAAAATTAACAAGACCTATATTTTACATACCTCTTCATAAAATGTCATCACAGTAAGGCGGTATCCTGCTAAAAGCAAATACTCCTTCACAGCACAGTTGAGATTTTGACGTTCATTGTCTTTCAAATGGCCCAAATCAGAAAATGAAGTTTCCTTCTTTCCTTGTTGAGAATCTGGCCCATTATTTGCAGACACATCAGCTTTGGGCCCTGCAAAATGCAATTTACATAACACACAAATTAAGAAAAACATTGTGGTTATTTGACAAGACCAAGCACAAAATACAAAACCAATCAATAAAACCAACTAAGCAACAATTTTAAACCAAGAAAAGTTAATAAGACAACATTATTTATCAGTGCAATTTAATATAAACAGAAAACATCATTAAGATATTGCAGATGGGAACGAACACAGGTGCCAGCATCCACAGATAAGAGTTCTTTTATGTGTCTGTCATTTCTGAAAACTTAATTTTGGCATGGATGCCAAATAGGCAACCAAAGATAAAGCAGTAGATTGCAAACACAGAAAAAAGAAATGAAAAATAGTTCAATTATTTTGAGAAAACACATTATGGACCAATTTTAATATGTATTTGCCAGGGCAGACAACGCAAAACACATTATATGCATTGCACACAGAAGAATGTGTTGGAAAACAATGCTGAAACATTGAAAAGCATATACCCTTAGATGTGAAGCAAAGTTGAAAAATTACCAGGAGATTCATCTTCTGTTAACTCATTTTTCCTTTGCAAGTCATCCTTCACTTTCAGAATGTCCTCTTGGGCCAAACGAAGCTCATACTCACACAGTGCTAATTTTTCTTCTAGTGCTTCTTTTTCTTCTAGCAAATTCTGGGGGTCCGCAACTGGCTCCCACAAATGAGCAGCAAAGAAAGGACATTTAGTTAAGTATAAGTTCAAGATATAATATATATATATATGTATATACTTATCACATAGTAATTCAGGCACACTACATCCCAGGCATCGATTCACCAAACTAAGGCAAGAAAATATTACATTAGCAAGTAAAACATTACATCAGCAGTAAGCACTGAGAAACCAATGATTCAAGTATATTCAACCCTAAACCAGCTATTCTGATATGACATGTTTTCATTCTAGAATATAAAATAAGAAAACAAAATTTTCCTCTTACTTCTCCCCTAAATTTGCTTTTTCATAAGACCAAACATAAGAAATAAGAGCAGTAGCAAATCAAAAGCACAAGGTAAATTGGACATACATAGTATATGTCTTAATCTTTCAGTTATTAAGTTAAGCGTTCTTCGCAACTTCTGATTATTAAATGAACCTCACTCAAGTTAAAAGACAATGAAGATCAAATTCAACTATTAACCAATGAAAAGTCAATATCCTAATCCCTGTAATTTAATTATTTACAAATATCATACATCCATTTTTTCTCAAACTTCTTAGCAACACATACAGCAGATCATTGCGATCCACATTTTCAAACAGAATACAACTTCACATCAAAACTCACCCAAATTCAATGCAACAATAAATATCTAAAACAGAATTATCAACCACCACAGTTAGAGACACTACATGTAATATACATATATATATATATATATATATATAGAGAGAGAGAGAGAGAGAGAACCTCGGAGGGCATTGTAGCGAGAGATCTGATCGGGAGGGAACTGATAGGGATCGGAGAAGAACTCTTTGAGGCGAATGGCGTGATCGTCGAGACCATCGTCGAGAAGCTCATGAAGAAGTTCGAATGCAGTTAACAAGTAATTCTCTTCGAGAAGAAAGTTCACCACGCAATTGCACAACGACGATTTCTCCACGTCCATTTGATTTGGTCATGCGAAGACGAAGACTAGACGACGAACTAAACTAGTGCGTCTGCAAATAGCGAATCCAACGGTCTCTATTCCCTTCTTCTCGACGCCATTGAAGCTTCTGGTTTGGATCGGTCTGTGAAATTATTGTACACGTACACAGGGCAGAGTCTTTGGAAGAGAAGACGATGGTGTTATGGTGCTTTGCAGCGGCATCAGTGGTGATGATCTTGTCTTGCTTGGATCTCTTGGATTGGATCTACTGCTGGAATGGAAAAAAAGCCACGTAATAAAAAATCAATTTGATCCGTAGATATATTTGACCTGATATCTCTATTGTTTTCCAGTAAAATAATATTATAATATTGGTAAATGTTTTAAAATTATATTAAAATATAGGATAAATGGTAAACACATTCTTGAAATTTAGTTAAAATATACATTATTTCTGTAATTCTGAAAATTATATTCCACCATGAGGTTTTTAATTTTAATATTCCAACATATGGTTTTTAATTTTAAAACAAATCATTTATTTTATCAAGCAAATCTCATAGTGTATTTATAATTTATCCTAAAATATATATATATATATATATATATAAGAAAATTGTACGTTAAAATGCATGAAAATATATTATATATTGATTTTTTATTTTTTTTTTCTATTATTGGATTCTTAACAAAATTCAAAATCCAAAAAAAAAAAAAAAAAATTGCTTCTCTAGTTTAGATCAAAAGTCAAATGCAAAAAAATCTAAATTTGAACCGCAATATCAAATATGTCAATATTGTATTGAAAATTATTTAAATTATTGATTTAAATTTATTGGTTCCCTCACAAAATTTATTGGTGTATTTGATATTGAATTGAACTTTTTAATTAAATTTAAATTTGAAGTAGCATATTATCTGTGTTATGTACGGAATTTTGTGATTTAAAATGAGTTATTGTGAAAAATTTTGTATATGGTTCTCCTATTAAATGATTGTACATATGACTATATACGTTGATATATAAATTTGTCAACTATTCATTTTTAAGAATAGCATGATATTACTTCCCCGGATAACATTTGTTAAGTCTTCACTCTTATTTAAAATACTTTTACTACATAATCATTCTTACTTTTAACTTATTTGACTCCTCTCTTTTTTTCATTCAAATTTAAAGGATAATTAGGGTTGGTTTGGCTTATCCTAAATAAGTCAAAAAGTTAAAAAGTTACTCCAAAATCTAAAAAGATATCACTATTCACCAAAAAAAATAATAATTATTATTATTTTCTGCCCAAAGTACACACCGATTTGACCAAAAGCCGGCTGCTGTGCAGCGGCAGTGCACATATATGAAATGATTGGGTGTGATTTGCACACACACCGCTGTTTGGCCTGCGGGGGCTATCACGGGTCCCGTTTTGATAATCTGAACCGTTAAATGTGTAGAACTCGTCGAGTACTATATGTCTGTAAAAAATCAAATTGATCGGATATCGATAACTATATGATCAGATCATTTATGTACGACAAATGGATGGTATTATAATTAATGACTGAAAAATAAATATATCTGATCAGATAGCTATCGATATCCGATTAACGTGATTTTTTATAGGTACATAGTGTTCGACGAGTTATACACATTGAACGGTTCAGATTATTAAAATGGGACCCGTGATAACCCCCACAGACCAAACAAAACCGTGCAGTGCTTTGTACAAAAAATAGCCAATAATTTCCAACTCCCATTCACACCTCCGATTTGTACGGCTGGGGCCCACCTGTCACTATTCATCTCTTACACACTCTTTTTATACAATTTTTTAATACATATTTTTTCATAAAAATTCAAAAAGTTAACCTCAGCCTCCATATTTTTTTCTCAACTTTTTTAGTCCAAAAAGACAAAAAGTGTACTTTTTTAGGACACCCCAAACCAGCCCTTAGAGTTTTTTTTTTAATTAGTTGGGTTAACCAGTAGTGTTCCACTCTTGCTATGTACAATCCTTGTAGTTAAAACCCTTATGCTATCACCCTTATATTATAAAAATTCTAAAAATTCATATTGAGAATTTGGAGTTCCCACAACCTCTATGGTTAAAAACCCTTTTTTGTTTATATAATATATATAAGAGTATAACATTCACTTTATATAAGTGAAACAATTCAACTTTTTCTTTATTCTCCCGATATGAGATTATAAAATAAAGGGAGACTTATTTATAAGTCCTATTTCGGACACTTATGGTATATTAAGTCCTATGTAATTTCTTATAGAGTTTCAAGTCCTATTCAGATAGAAATGTATTCCACAAGATCCTATGAGTTGTAAATAAATGGTATTAATATACTATTATACACTATAATGGCAAAACTATATATAGGAAATTGAATGTTACCATAGATCATATCTATATGAATGTGAATTTCAAAATACACGAACAAATAACATTTTCACATTCAATTTAAAAAATCAAAAACTTAGTAAATTTGCAAAACGTAACGTGACACGTTACGTTACGTTTATGTAGGCGTCACGTCACGTTTATGTAGGTGTCACGTTACGTTACGTTTATATAACTCAATTTAAAAAATCAAAAACCTAATAAGTTTGCGAAACGTAACGAGACATGTTACGTTACGTTTATGTAGGTGTCACGTTACGTTTATGTAGGTGTCACGTTACGCTACGTTTATGTAGGTGTCACGTTACGTTTCTCAAATTTAATCTATGATAACATTCAATTTTCTATATATGGTTTTACCATTATTTATGATATTAACAACTAATATTGAGGGTAAATGTGTCAACAAACTTCACACAGGACTTATGGGAATATAAATTTTTTAGTAAGATCATATATAGTATAAGTCTCTCTAATAGGACTTATAAATAATTTTCCATAAAATAAATCATATCTTAATTAGAGTTTTTATTTTAAAATTTATACTGTGTTGAATTGAACTATGCACAACACTATAATATTAAATGCAAGTATAAGATTTACTTTATATAAGTGAACAATTCACTTTTTCTTTCTTTTCCCGATGCCGGATTATAAAATAAATCATAAAATAATTATAGTTTTATTTTTATATATGGTTAAATAGAAGTTAGTCAATGGAAAAAAATTTTAATTGTTTAAAATTAAGAAAATCCCTATAAGAAATCGTAGGTAAACCGACTGAGAGGGTATTTTTTGGTAAAAATTGGGCCGAGCTGTGAAATGGACTTTGTGGCCCAAAATGCCAAGGACTGGGTAAAAAGGCTGAAGTGTTACTACGGCCCAAAAGATGTCACTCCGGCCCAAGCTGTTAAAGTTACTCCGGTTCGTAGACAATAGATTTACTCCGGCTCTGAGGAGATGGTGACTTACTTCGGTCAAAAAGAAAAGATGAAGTTACTTCGGCTAAGGAATTGAAAAGCTGCCTCGGTTTGGACAATCTGAGTTAGTCCGGTCTCAGAAGGTAGTCCGGTCATTATGAATTCGGGGTAGGTCGGTCGGAATGTTGCTATTCAGTAGATCGGTCCGAACACACCACGGTTCGTGTATGAGAGAACCGAGATGTGGTGTAGCACAAAGAAGAACCAAACTATTGTTAGTACGGCCTACTTTGTGGCTCGGCATAGCCAGTTTTACTTCGGTCATATGGTAGTTCGGCCAAAGGGAGAAACCATCCCACTTGGTTTAAGCAGTGGGGGAGGGTGTAAAAGGATAAGCACTATCCATAGGAGTATGAATCCTGGGAGGACTCTGCATGGAGAAATACAAGTCCTACTAGGATTGTGCCACGGGAAACTTATAAAAACCCACAAGCACCACCTTGGAGGAGGTAATTGAACACAATCTTTCTGAGAGTATAAAACTTTGTCTATTTGTCAAGCTTATTGACTTAGGCATCGGAGAGGTTTCCGGCACACACCCGCCGGCCAGCTCACGTTTGTGTTTTCAGGTAACAAAGCGACGTCGTACGGAGGAGCGTGGACTGGGTCAACAGGATTATACGAGGAGAATTATTTCTTCCCCGTACACCGACAAATCAGTCAAACTGAAAACGGTTAAGCCTAATCGGTTAGGTCAAATGACCAACTAACGTATATAAAAATCAATTAATTAAAACTTTTAAATGTTATTTAATTTTAAAATTTAAATTGTCTTTAATTGAATATGCACAATACTACAATATTAAATAGGAGTATAGGATTCATTTTATATGATTAAAACAACTTATTTTATCCTCTTCTCCCAATGTGGGTTTATCAAATAAATCACAAACTAATTAGAATTTTATTTTTATATGGTTAAATGGAAGCTAGCCAATAGAGATTTTCTTAATTATTTAAAATTAAGAAAATCAAGAAAAATAAAAATAAAAAATAGTATGAGATATTGAAATTCTCATAAAGCTCTTTACTAAAAACTCCATTTTCTTATATAATATATAGATAGATATGTAAGTATAAGATTCACTTTATATAAGTGAAACAATTCACTTTTTCTTTCTTTTCCTGATATAGGATTATAAAATAAATCATAGACTAAGCCTTCGTTTGGCAATGACTTTTTTAATTGGCTTTTTAGCTTTTTTGATTTTTTTAACCTGGGATTTTTTTTTCGTTTGATATTCTTGATTGGCTTTTTTGACTTTTTAGCTTTGGAATGATGGATTTTTTTTTTGTCCTTTTGTGATTTTTGGCTTTTTGTGATTTTTTAACTTCTTTTTGTCCTTTTATGATTTTTTAGCCCAACTCAAAAACCAAACAACCCCTAATTAGAGTTCATATTTTAAAATTTAAACTATCCTGAACTAAACTATGCACAACACTATAATATTAAATAAGAGTATAAGATCCACTTTATATAAGTAAAACAATTCACTTTTTCTTTCTTCTCCTGATATGGGATTGTAAAATAAATCATAGACCAATTAAAGTTTTATTTTTATATGGTTAAATGAACCTAGTCAGTAGAGATTTTTTTATTGTTTAAAATTAAAAAAATCAGTATGAGAAATCGCGGTTAAACTGATGAATCAGTCAAACTGAAAACGGTTTAATCTAATCAGTTAGATCAAAAGAGCAACCAACTTATACAAAAATTAATTAATTAAAACTTTTAAATGTTATTTTAATTTAAAATTCAAACTGTCTTAAATTAAAGCATGCACAACACTACAATATTAAATGGGAGTATAAAGTTCACTTTATATAAATGAAACAATTCATTTTTTTCATCTTTTCCCAATGTGAGATTATAAAATAAAAGTTAACAATTGTTTAGGCAAAAAGTTTATTTATAATCAAGTAATCTTAGTCATTCAA